TCATTACCAAGTAAATTATAATATCCTATAAACATTAATTGTGATAAATTGATTGTTTTCTATTGAAAGTATCGACGACATGTCACACTTTGTTATAACAAACAGAACCTTTTTGTAACGCATCACTTTGTATCCTTATCAATGTACGTGTTTAATGTCGATGAAAATGGACACACTTACCGCTATCTCCTATTATTAGAAGCTTAAATAAATGATCATATTCCCGGGCCATTTTGACATGTATGACGTTCACGTTTATTAAACGCTTCCTTGCGAAAACAGCTTGAAATATGAACGATACATTCACCGTATCGTAAATGGTTTGGATTATCTATGAGCAAACGCGTGAACTGATGTTGCTAACTTGATACAAATTGCAGCAACGTTTGCGATTTATCCAAAGTAAAAGACTCCAGTATCAAATAAGCGCCATGTTTATTTGCCGTGATATCACGATTCATTATCACTACTGGGGAAAAAATTATATTCGTTAGCGTTGGTGGATATTTCATATTTACTGCGAATAATCAACGCTCTTCATTTCTTTTAAATGGCTCATTTTTGTGCAATGACGATTTTACATTTACTTGTCGTATCATTTTGATAAAAAAGAAGAAACGTACTGGAGGATATTATTCAATGAAGAAACCATTTCGTAGAACTAATTATATCATATAGTAAATGTCGATTATAAGAACTGAAATTAACGTAACAAAGGTAATGCGTATTTGTTTAATAATTTATGTAAATTTAACATATTGATACTATTTATTAATTGTTCAGCTATTCAAATGCCCAATATTCATTTATTATATATATATACGTGTGTGTGTGTGTATATATATATGTATATATATATATATATACATATATATATGTATATGTATATATATATATATATACATATATATACATTAGTAAATAGCTAGATAATAATTACAGAACTCAGAAGTTTGACTTATTTTTCATTAGTTCAGATCAGAATCGTTTATATTATACATGAAAATTTAACATTGGATTTGGTTTCACACCTCACTTCACGTTATTCGTAACTGCGTGAGATATTTAAAAAAACTAAATTCAAGTATGTATGGAATATATAAAGTATGTACGAAGTACAATCAAACTACATATATGTACATGTGCATATGTACAAAGCAAGTTTCAAATTTCAATCCTAACTCTTAACGTTAGACGATAGTTAGTCGATATGTTTGAATTGCTGTAAACCGACTCGAATATCGGTTAATGTATCTCAAGTATCGTGAAGAAATCGGCCGTAATTCAGTTATAGAAAGTAGAATAGCATCACCAGGCATCACCTTGTACTGTATACAACAAATTGTAAGGTAATTTGAATAACAAAGCTTTTAAAGTTACTGCGTTGTAGTATAAGTGAATAAACGTTATTATTTAGCCTATATTTTTCAGAGATTTTATAAGTTGAATTTCATGTGATTTTCCTATTCTAACGATTTACGTATATATATTTTTTACTTCATAGATCGGTTTTAAAATGAATTTGTCTCGTGACATACAGAAAATAAGGCAGGTACCACTTCCAGATGATACCGCCTTGTTCGTACGTCGAAGAGATTATAATGAAAATCGAGTATTCAGAAAACCGAAAACTCCACCGAACGCTCAAGTAAGTATATTTTTTCATTTTATCGGAAATTTGAGCATCGCAATAATTTAGAACCTGTTTCTCCAAGTATCGTTTAACACTTGAATATATATTTGTTTGTTGAATCATGTACTTCTGGAAT